CAGAGCAAGACCGTGACCGCGGCGGGCCAGGTGGGGGGGCGGCCGCGGCATACTTCCCCTCTCCCTAACCTCTCCCCACACCCCACCACCTCCCACTCCTGTTTCACCGTCCCGATGCCATCCGCCCCCACCCCGGGACCCGCGCCCCAGGGCGGCCTCCCCACGCATCGCCCCTCCCCCGTTCCCTCCTATCCCCAACCCGTCTGCCCAGGACCCAGCCCTGCCCTGTCCCCCATTGTCCCTGGGGGCGGGTCTCAGTCTCTTCCGAAGCTAAACTCGGCCCCTGCGCGCTGCCCCCTCCTCTCTCCGCAGTACTCGCCAGGGATGACCATGAGCGTGTGATGGGGCGGCAGCCCCGGGCCTCTGCGGGCCTAGGCTTCTGCCCAGCACCCCTGCTCAGGGCGAGGGGCTGAGGTCACACCTCGGGCACCTGGACTCCTGGCCAATCAAGGCTTGCCCGGCTGGGAGGCCCCACACGAAAGACTTATCATTTTATTAAAAACGCAAGGACCTCAGAGACGTTCTTTTCTGTATGGACCCTTCCTGCCATTTGTATTTTGTCCCAGAGGGCTCTTTGGGGGGCCCCTCTCCCCAGGACGTCAGGGGGTGGGGCCCATCAATAAATGGAAGCTGGTTTTGGTTTTTGGTAGCTTGTCTCAGATTCCCTTTTTGGCCTTCGGCCACCACACTCTCCACCCTGTGGTCTGATGTTCCCCCACGCCCCCATCTAGCCCCACCTTTGAGAACTGGGGGCAGAGTGAGGCTCCAGGTTCTGGGCTCTCCCTGGGAGTTGGGGTGATGACCATGGGCAGAGGGAGTGGGACTGAAGCTGGGTGCTCAGAGTCAAAGTAGAGGGAGGCAGAGTCAGGTCACAGGCCCCAAGAACCCCCGGGGTGGAAGGAGGGCTAAGAGTGGCAGCGCCTTTATTGTCTTTGTGGGGGCCTAGCAAGGTGGGGTCTTGGGGGGCAGCGGGGAGGAACAGCTGGGAAGCTGTGTGACCAGGGCCTCAGGTGGTGGGCATCTGGGGTTCCTCCACTTGCGGATGCCCGTTGGCATCACCAGTGCAGCCGTTGGTGGCAGCGGGTACCGGTCCTTTCTTGTTCAACACAGGGCAGGCAGCAGCCACGGGTCCGACTCGCTTGAGGACGGGCCCTGGGCGCTCCATCTTATGCTCCAGTAGCATGTGGTTCTGTGGCGGGAGCCCCACGCAGGCCCTGGAGAGGCCGTACAGCTTAGCAGAGCCAGACACCGCCTATAGCCCCCCAAGCCCTGTGCATAGTTTAGCCAGGGGGTATCTGGGCCCTGAATGGGGAACCTGGAGGCTGGGGCGCACCTGAGGATGTTCTCGATACAGCTGCGCTGGCGGAAAAGCGCATTGACCACCGGGCTGCCCGGTGGCACCAGTGGCGCCTTGAAGAGGAAGCTGAGCAGGGACAGCACGGGGTGGAAGGTCTGTGGCTCGGGGTCAGCGTCAGTGCAGAAACTCACACGCTGGCACAGTTCGGTCAGTAGCGCGAGGTCCAGCATGATGGGTGCGGCCAGCAGCGAGTCCTGCGGGACGGGTGGGTCAGGAGGTGGGGGTGGTGGCCAAGCCCCGCCTCCCACAGCAGCCCCTGAAGCCGCACTGCACCTCGCATGTGTTGTGCAGCACCAGTGTGTTGGTTCCGCCCAGCATCAGCTCCGAAGTATACTCATCCAGCGCGCGCTTGCTGTCGCCCACGTACGGCACATACTTGATGACCACCTGGAGTGCAGCATGAGTTTGCCCGGGTTCCCACCACCCCTCGCCGGGCAACCCAGCGCCCGCGCCCGCGCCCCACGCACGCAGTGGTCAGGCTCCTCGCCGGGCGCATAGAGCACTGGGTTGCTCTGCACCATGTCGTCCACCACGTTGCTTTTGGACACCTCCTTAGAGCGGAACTGCAATGGCGCCGACAGGTTCTCCCCATCGTTGTTGCCCAGGTGGTTGTAACTCACGATGGACATGGTCTGTGGGTACAAGGGACGCCCCAGCAGCTGCAGGCCCTGTGGCCCCACAAGCCAGGTGCTCGCGGCCCAGGCCCCCTTCCTGCACTAGCAGCCCCCTAGGCCCACGCACCTTGAGGCCGGAGCCAATGAGGAAGTCCACGAGCACGGACTTGACTTTGGTCTGGCCTGACTTGAAGTCATCTCCGCCCACAAAAACCCGGCGCTGCCACGCGAGCTCAAGGGCTCCGGGCACCAGGGTGTTCTGCGGGGACCCATTGAGGAAGGCACAGCCCTCTAGGATGCTGGCCACGGCGAAGAGCGTGGAGGGCGACACCTCCAGACCAAGCTGTGGGCAAGGTGGGCAGTCAGCACAGAGCTGTGTTTGGGACTGGCCCTGCCTGACCCACTCCACCCGGGCGTGCGCCCACCTCAATGGTGCGTAGTAGGTTCTCGGCTGTGTCGTTGAGGCCTGGAATCACCTCACAGAAGCGCTCCGTGTTCGCCGTCCACAGCACTATGATTTTGTCCAGCCCCGCGCTAGACCGGAAGTCTCGGATGTCCCTGCGGATCTGCTCCAACTGTGGGGAGGATGAAGAGGGTGTGGGGAGGATGGAGCGGGTGTATATGCTCTCGGACTCAAGACGCCTGGGTCACTCAATTCCCCGGGTGTCAAATGGGGCCTGGACTCGCGGGGTGGGGCAAAAAGGGGGAACCAAGTGGACAGGTGGCAGGGAGCAAGGGATGCAGGATGGGACAGCACCTGCTGCGCGCGCGAGCCCGGGATGAGGTTGTCCGCGCGCGCGCTCTGGTTGGCCGCGATGAACTCGGGGATGTAAACAGAAGGCCGGGGCCGCAGGGCCTCCATGTGCGGCCACAGTTGCTCCTGCAGCCCCCAATCCAGCACCTTCGCGCGCCGCATCGCCTCAGCCAGGTTCAGCGACGAGATGTCCCAGCCTGGGGGGATCCTCACACTCGGCCCTGCCCGGATCCTGGGCCCCTCCAGACCCAATCTCCCATCCCGCCCCACCCCAGCCCAGGGCTCCGCCCACCATCGAACACGAGGTCGTTGGGCGCCACCATGGGCAGCAGCGCGCTGAAGGGCACGAACACCTCCTGGCCCTCGGCGTCCAGGCCCAGGCTCACGGTGCCTGCCTGAGTCAGCGAGCCGTAGTAGTTGGCCTCCTGGGGGGGCAGCAGACACGGAGAGGTGACGGGGGGGCGTGGCGAAGGGGCCGCGACCCGGCCTGGGCCCCGCCTAGACTCTCAAGCCCCGCCCCACTTTCGGGCGTTTTTCAGTTCCGGGCTCCCAGCCAGGACGGAAGCCGCTGCCCCCAGGCCCCTCCCAGAGACCTCCGGCACCTTAAGCTCCGCCCCTGTAAGACTTCCGAGGAGCCCCCGCTACCTCGCGAAACCCCTCCCCGGGGTCCGCCTGCAGCCAGGCCCCGCCCCCTGCAAGCCCTCCC